TCAAAATTCACCCATAAATAAAAACAAATTTATAAGGGGGTTGTCCCCCCTTAAGCGACTTGAAATTATTAGGAGTCCGCTTATTCAAATTTGATTCAAAATTTAGTCCAAAATCACAATTCAAACCTAAAATTTGCTATTTGCACATGCCTACTGAGCAGCTTTGTGTTTCTTCGCATTTTAATACCCGTGCCACACGGGCAGAAAAAATGGCATTTACCCCCGAATGCCTTCAGATTTATTGCCATTTGCGCGGTGCCACACGGGCGAACAAAATGGCATTCATCCGAATGCCATTCGAATGCCTTTCGCCACCAAATGCCTTCGCCAGAACTCAGTTGACTTGAGAAATGCCTACTCTCGACGACACAGCTTGCGAAGTGCGATTTACCTGAAAGAATATACAACAAATCATATTGAGCTAAAAATGAAATTTCCCGTCTTTTATTTGCACTAAAATCTTTAAAAAGGTGCTTTGAACGTTATGCCAAGAAAATAAAGTATTGATAATGAAACGCTTGTCAAGTTTAGCGAAACTTTGGCAAACAAGCATGCAACACTGGTATTTTCATCGCCATCGCCATCGAGTTCACTTTCTCCGTGACTCATGTTGAAATGGTTTGATATTAATTAAAGTTCAATGTTCTGAAGCTGGCGCATAATAACTCGTCTCTGCTCCAAAATTATTCGCTCTTGAGCACGATGCTTTGCACGGAAACACAAAGGTGCTGCCGTGAAAAAAACGAACTCTGCGAACATCTTCTTCTGAGAGATGCGACAGGTGCGATGCGACAGGCGCCATTTTCTATTTACGCTGTGGATCCGACTAGTGTTGGCTTAGGTTGCTACGGTCGGCTGCAACGTTGTAAAACAAAGCAAGACACTAAAACTTAGGACAGCGTAATACGCTTATTTCTACATTTAATGATTACCTGATGTGTATGAAGCTTGTAAATGCTTCTTAATTTTTTTTGTTGCTATTGACTCAATGCTCACTTGGAAGGTGCTGTGATCGACATCATCAAGTCAAATGTCATTCACTTTGGACGTGTAGCAGCGCCAGCGAAACAAATGTCATTCGGGAACTGAAGGCCTTCGCCACCAAATGTCATTTTCTACGCCTGTGTGGCACGGGTATAAGAATGTTCTCTGCTCCCAAGTACAACACCAATTAATTTAGTAGTAGTTGTTCTGTTCAAGGAACTGTTCCATTTAAAAAATTACCTTTTTATGGAGTCTGCGGTAACTGCTATTGCAATAAAACTGTGCTGTGTGAACATGGACGTAATGGGCTATAAGCTATGCCTGTTAGTGCCGCTTAATTAGTACCGCTATAGACCTTTCTTAAGCAATCCCACAATGCTCCGCGAGCGCGTGGAGCACTACAGAAAAAGTTGGTACGGCGAGACAAGCAGCCCTTTTTCTGCCTGTTGCTCATAGGCACCGTGGGAGCACAAAGGGGGGGGGGGGGGGGGACAAGCCGCTGCTTGCTGAATAGGGACCGAATGCGCACCTGCATGTATATCTACGCGTGAAATGTGAAATGAATAACGCGGTTAATGTAGGTATCACTGTACGGGTGTATGTAGAAGATAAGTGGCATGCGAGTTCTTGCGTACCGATACTTGTGGTCATAACATGCTATCGTGAGGAATGTGAGCTGGAACACTGAATTTATTTTTATTCAGCAATAAACTGCTCATAAAGGGCTATGGCTCTTAATACCATCGCGGCTTGATTGGGCCTTTAACACAAGACTGCAATAGAAGTGTTACAGCTATAGAATATTTAAAATTTTTATGGACAAGTCCCGTGCTGTAAAAAGGTAAAGTAAACACATTCTAAATGTGTTTATATAGATGAAGGGATGGAACTAGAATTCATGTGCGAGATACCTGGCTCTTATAATTTGCGGTTTCTTTTAAGATGCTTAAGTGTCTGCCGAGCATGTTTGCTGACAGTACCGTATTTACTCGCGTAATCCTTGTTCTCGCATAATTCTCGCACCCCCACATCGCCCAACAAAAATAAGATTTCTTTTTTCCTCGAGTGATACTCCTGCCACCGAAAACTGCTGCAATAATGTCCTCTGCTCGTTCCAGCCACTGATGATAGTGTTTACCATCTGGCGCCATCTATTAAGCATCAAGCGTACTATTATTGCACGGAAATTCAATCCAATCCAATCCAAGCCAAGCCGAAACGGGAAGTGCCTGGTTGCGGCGTGTTTTGTATATTGTGTCGGTAATCTTGTGTCACATTATGGGGCGATACTGAAGCTACACGGCTGCTTTCCAAGTTGAGTGATAGATCATGCACTAGACAACGGCAACAGGGCCGCCGGTAGGCCTTTCGGAGTCTTTGAGTTTTGTCGTGGCCTGTCGTGTGCCTTAAACTGGGATTGATGGAATCCTTTAACAAGGTGCTTGATTGGGTTGGTTGGTGCTGCATGGTAGTCGAAGAAAGTGCTTAACAGTACAAACGACAGGAGGGGATAGAAGAGACGAGAACAGAGCGCTCTGTTCTCGTCTCTTCTATCCCCTCCTGTCGTTTGCACTGTTAAGCACTTTCTGTTCTCTTCTCTATTATTCCCTCCTGTCGTTTGCGCTGTTAAGCACTTTCTTCGTCTACCATGACGGTAAACTTTATTTCTCCAACAGAAAACTTCTGATGCTTCTGTTAAATAGCCATCAGCCCAATACTGACGCACTACGCTTAAATAGTACGTCTCAAAACTTGCTGCTGCTGGTGTGAGAAACCCAATATGCTGCCACTTCGTTTTTCCTTGCGTAATTCTCGCACCCCCCAACTGAACATCGGTTTTCCGCCAAAAAAAGTGCAAGGATTATGCGAGTAAATACGGTACATTCCGTATTGAGTGAGACCACTATTGAATTTCATGTTGATGCATTCGAATATTGTTCGATGAGGAATAACGATGTCGTATTTACGCTCAACGAATAAAAAAAAAACTTGGGCACATTACATGAGCGTTTGCAGTTGCAAGAAGGCGTGGTGCCTTACACATATCATATTGCATCGGTTTGTGCGCACTGCAAACAAAGAATAATTTGGACGAGCTTCATTCACGAAGAAGCGAGGAATTTTGCAGTTATTTTATGCATACGTTCTTCGCAGTCTGAAAGGAAGTTGGGAAGTGCTACGAGGTGAGGGTTGCGTTTTCCAAAAGCATCTTATCCTTGTAACATTTTTTTTTTCACCAAAGAGCGCAAAAGGTCGCAGGGTTCTGCAGTGGGCAGAGAAAAGTACTATGAGAGGTATGCCATTTTTTTTTTTTTCAATTGTGCAAGAGTTGGTAATCAAATTCCTCTTGTGTGCACATAGATGCATCGGTTGGACTGGTTTATGTATGAACACATGCCTCGCAGAGCATCAAAATTAAGTAAAGCCATTTCATCTTGCCTTGCATTTTCAGTCATTTCAATGCTATTTCATCTTTGAAGGCCTGGTAATCTTGCACATTCGCCCTAACCAGACCACGCAAGAAATCTCCGAGACGTATCGTAAAGAACACCGCATGCACCTTGTTTAAGTCAATTAACCTTCGCCATCACTACAACACAATTTTATTAATCAACGGTAAACACGTGCCTCGGTTCTTAGTCTTTTTGTACTTCTTTTTGATGTGTGTGATGCACCTCCGTTTTCTTGTATATGTTAGCACATGCAATAACCATTCAGTCTTGAGCGAGCGTTTCCGGTGTATATATTTCTTTCCTGGTCGTACTTCTTTATTTTTTGCTTTGCAGGTTTTATTTTAATCTGCAATTACGGTGGTGCAGTCTATGTATCTTATTGTACAAAATTGCTCTTCTTTCTAAAGCACTCTTAGGTATTGCAGAACCGTACAATTTACTCGTAAACAGCATCGAAGGACATTGATTCCTAATGCATCCATTAATTTATGGACAGTGCTTGCGCCTTTTAGGCAACAAAGTTGTACTGTTTTTTTATTTATGCTGAAGGTGGACTGATGCTGAAGGATAATAATTTACTCATCTGCTGAGCTGGTTGAACATGAAAACAAGTGCAATTTGTAGGCGGGCCATCGCACCCAAACGCTGCAGTTTCTTAGTGAATAATGCGGTAATATATCACACCTTGCCGAGTTCACTTGATTTGAGAAGTGCTGGCACGGTGCAAACAGAAAGTTGAAGCGTGAAGCCCGCGCGCTCGTCACGGTGGCTGCTGCGGCGTAACAACTTTTCTCATAAGTGCTTGCTCACCCGTTGGCGGCACTAGTAGGCTTAAAAAAAAGTCTATTTATACCTGCCGAGTGTGCAAGTTTGTACGATACTTTTACTGAGAATGTTTTGTTTGTGTTGTAAATTCTTGATTTTAACAATCAGTCGTCGGACCACAACCAGCATTGTTATTGCACTAAAAGGACCTATATTTAACTTGTGCGTGCTTTTGCTGTGTGTTTCGGTGGGCCGATACGTCCGCCCTTCGAATCTGCACGACAATTGCCTCCCCATGAACGAAATCAGTGACCCGTTTTATTTAAGGTGAGTCAAACGGGCAGCATTCATGGAGAGTATTGAGGCCTATTTAAGTAAGATTGGCCCTCCTACGGCAAACTGTCACATGTGTGGTGTAATAGGTACTCTTAATAAGAATTCAGAAGTGACGTGCAACTAAGAAACAAGTTATTTAAGAAGCGTTTCTCCTGGGAGGAGTGATGGCACCAGTGCGGGGACGAGGTGAACTAGGCGCGAGGTGAACTAGGCGCGTATTGCCGCGCCGGCGGCACGCTACAGGCCGCACCTCGTTTTTTTATCCAGTGGCCGTGTAAGTGCAATGGAAAGTTTCATGTCTTGATCAATGAATGGGTGTGAATGGCATTCATTCCTGCCAGTGGTGGAAACCTAATATGCCCTTCATGTTCGGGTTCTGTAGCATGCAGTGAATGTAGCATGAAATGTGCCTTTGCTAAGCAGTTCGTGTGAATGACAGCATTTTTCTCTCATTGCATGCAGCCTGTTGGCCAGGACTACATTGAAGAGATGCGCAATGATGAAGGAAAGGTGATCAGCTTCCAGTGCAAGTTGTGCGAGTGTCGTTTCAACGACCCCAATGCCAAGGAAATGCACATGAAAGGACGAAGGCATCGTCTCCAATACAAGGTTGGAAGTTGTGATATTACAGTTTACTTGATGATTCACTTCTGATAAATTCGAAGAAATCCTAAAATTCTTAGTTGGCCTGTTAATTTTTAAGGGGGGACACAGCCTTGAAACCGGAAAAATCGTGAAAAAGTCGATTTTTGGGGAACCACATATTCGGGCAGTACATGTCGTAAGCTACCTCTTCTGTAAATATCAACGTCTAACTCATCGTGAAACTGTTTGAAATAAAGTTTACTACAAGCCGCCGCAGCCCTCGAACGACACGGGAGCGCTCAAAATAGCCCAACTTGGCATGATCGCAGTTTCTCGACCTCTTCACGGAGCTCTGCCATTTTGGTGTTGTTTTGTTTTTGAATTCTTGCACTTTCCTTTCCTGCCACCCGCGGCGACGGCGGTAGTGCAGAAGCAGAGCAAGATGCTCATGATTGGGTGATGCGCGGGCTCCTCGAGGACTAGAGGGACCCTATGACTGCGGTTCGCTGCTGCGCGCGATGACGTAGTACTCTTGCACATTAACGGCTCTTCCGTACCCGGCGTTTTCTTAATGTTCCACTCGTTATCGTCTATCATTGCAGCCGTTCGCATACTCTTCGTGTTTCAACTGTTTTACGAAACGATTTTCAAATGTCTTGAAGAGATGATTTTCAACTGTCTTTACGAGACCGTTGTATTCGCTCTTGATGCGTCCAACGAAAAGGAAGACACAAGTGTTTGGTGCAAGGAAGCGATGTATGAACGTTGACCGCATGGCGAGGCTCTCCGCTTGCACATGCGCCGACGGTGATTGCGTTGACAGTACATGTTGAGAGAGCGTGGTTGCATCTAAGTGCTTAGACACGGGACTCCTTCTCCAGCGTGCAAAAATTTGACGTTGCAAGTGCACCTTTAGTCTCGTGCTCATCGACGGGGACTTCCACATCCTCTCTTTCATCGGCCTCCTGAAAGTGCGATGGCGTTTTCTGACGTGAAAAGAGAAAGAGGCGGCGGATCAACAACGCGCTGCTGTTCAAAGAGAACTCTGCGCTATACCAGCGACGGAGCAGAAATTTCGGGCAATAGAGTGCGATAAATGGAGTGCGACCTGGCCATTCAGGGCATCCGAGAAAGATTCACTGCGCCTAAAAAAGGCTGAGAAGAGATCCTTGGAGGAGATGGAAAGGGGGGGTGGAGAAAGATACCGTATTTACTCGCATAACCCTCGCACTTTTTTTTTTTTGCCGAAAAACCGATGCAAAGTTGGGGGGTGCGAGAATCGCACGGGGAAAACTTTCCACGAAAACGTACAGAGCGAAAAAGAAAACAGTCGCCACAAATCGGGATTCTCACACCAGCAACTAACAGCAAGCTTTGAGAAGTACTAATTAAAACTTACCTGAACAATAAAAGCAGAGATTCGACACAAGGCAAGATTTATTTAAGACACAAAAAGTGCAAGCAAATAGTCAAGAATTAGAATACCACACCCAAAGCTTCTTGGCGTTGCGGGGGTATCGGTAGCGTTCGTCTCTCAACAGGAGCCCTCAGAAGGTAAGCATAGGACTTCAGTATTGGGCTGATGACTATTTAAATCAATCGTCCGCAGTTTGCTTTTGAAGAAATTAAGTTTACCATCAATCCCAGTTTTAGGCACACACGGCAGGCCGAACGCGTCGTGTTGGATTTCAGCTACCGTCACCAGTACCGAACACAAAACTCACTCCGAAAGGCCTACCGGTGGCCCTGTTGCCGTCGCCCCATAACGGGACATTACCGACACAACATACAAAACATGCCGCAACACGCACTTGCCACTTCGACTTAGTGTGGATTGGATTGAATCTGCGTGCAATGATAGGACGCTTGATGCTTAAGAGATGGCGCGTGCTATCATCATCAGAGGCTGGAACGAGCAGACGACATTATTGCCACAGTTTTCAGGGGTGTGATAATTACTCGAGGAAAAAAAAAAGAAATCGTATTTTTGGGCGATGTGCGGGGTGCGAGAATTATGCGAGAGCGAGGATTACGAGAGTAAATACGGCACTGCCAGCAAACATGCTTCGCAGACACTTGAGCATCTTAAGAGACCGCAAACTTTCAATAGCATTATTTTAAAATAGGAAACGGGACTGCAATAGAGTTATAATATGCCGGGCTTACCGGGATACCGGGTATACCATGATAGCGGAAGCGAAGTGCACATGCGCAGATACGTAGGTTACCCGTACCGCTTATCATACGTTTTTCAGATTTCACGTTACCGTGGTAGCGTAGGTGCGCGTAGTGTACGTAAACATGGCGGCGCTATGATGCCCGCTTCGATGTGATTTTGGCCTAGTTGTTGAAAGATTCACCTTGTTTGCAGCAAACGACTGTTTAAAGTGGATTCGCCGGCCTTCAGTTAGGTTCGATGACCAAGTATTATGGATACGTTTGCTTAGTTGTTGAGATAGCTTCCCATTTCGAACGTGTGTAGGCCTAACTACAAGATCGACGTGAATAAATTGGCAACATAAATCTTTTTGCATTCGGTGCGTGGTTCATGTTTATTTACTTTATTACTAAAATGACCTTGTAGCAATGCTTTCCGTGGTGGCATAGGCAAACATTCTCGTTTTCTTTTCCTTTTCTCTGTTTAACTTATTAACCGTACAATAGGTGGCGCCACCATTCCAGCTGGGGCACGTAAACCACGTAAACACTATCCCGCTAAACTATAATACGCTGTGCTCAATGAACGTTTGCTGCACGGTAACGCCAATCCCTTAACCTTCGCTATTACACTAACGGTAAACTATAACTGTCTAATGTCGCCAAACACAAAACTTTCTAAGCGTGCACCACGCACTAGCAAACAGCCGCCGAGCAATATTGACTGCAAGAACAAATGCGGCAAAAGAAAAATGGCGGCTATGACGTCATCATAATTTGTTTTGTTGACTGCGGCGTGAAGGCATTAGTAAAGTAGGGGGTCCCCAAGGTTACCCTTCGAGGGAGGGTATCAATGGCAAGATGGAGTGGAGAACTCGTGTCAACTTCAACATTCCTTTAAAAGAAAATTGCAATTCCAAATATTTATTTTTCAATTTTTGTTGTGGGAAAATTTTAAATATGGGAAATCTTATAATATCCCATCTATATTTGCTGTCGATATTTTGCATATGACATACGAATGTTCCTGAAAATTGACTCCACAGGCTATCTGGGCCACAAAATTCTGTCAGTGCCACTTGAATGTGGAAATTTGTTATCTTTTCTGTTAATGTTATATTTGAAAATCTGTTTGCAGATTCGAGATCTCCATTCAATGACACACATGCATGCTAATTTTCAATGACAATATTTTAATAAACCTCTTTAATATGCATCATCCCTGCCTTAATAGCTTAGTTTTTAATAACATCACATCTCATTTGTTTTGGTTCATTGCACAGGCCAAAGCTTTTTTATGTATGTTTTTTTTACGTCGTGTTGTAACAGATACAAAAATGTGACGCTGAGAAGTAAGATTTTATTGTGTAAAAAGTGTGAATCTTAGCAGCAACATTGTGTGTGCTGCCACTACTATTCTTGTACAAGTGCACCTTCTCTTTTGCAGAAAAAAGTTAATCCCGACCTTGTAGTTGACATAAAGCCCAGCCTTCGTCAACGGAAGTTGCAAGAGGAGCGCCTTCGGAGGCAACTGAAGGACGATTCGTGGAAAATGCATGAGGATGAACGATGGAGGAAAGAGATGAGGTTTGTTTTCTCGTATACTTCAGCGACTATGGTGACTGGACCTGTCAACATAGTAATATTGTTACTGCAATCGTGATTACGGTGACAGGGCTCGTCTGGGTCTTGTAATAGTGAAGGGGCTTGTCATAATAGCAATGCAGCTATAGCGACGGACCCTGTCACCGTAAAGCAATGACTACGGTGAGGGGCTTGTTGCCGTAAATTCGTAGTCGTTTTGGATGGCGCTTTCTGGCTGTTGTGGTGTTTCACAGTAAGTCCACAATAGTGGGTTGACCTGCAATTATGGAGGCGTTCGCGCCGCAGGTCTTCTGCTCGAATTCCTGCTTCGCTATATTTTTCTTTTTTGGTGTTGCTGCTCTGAACGAGTCGTAAGCTTGCTTTTCTGCAAGACGGTCTTGGCATGGTCTGCGGCGGTTGTTAGATTGCCCTACCGTGTGGATTTCGTGGCGAAGTGATGATGGTGTCCAAGTTCAACTTGAATTGCGCTTTTTTTTTCTACTTTTGGTATTGCTTCAAGTATTGTTACTTGTCTTTAAATGATAATTTTCTTTATTCATCAGGGATAACTATCGGCATTCTTTTACGTCCAACGTGGAACGAATACCTTTCCCCGATGGTTTTCGATTGATACTGCTCCGGGCGAGCAGATTTCATAGTATGCGTGTGAATTAACTTTATTATCGCATTGAACAACCACCCTCTGCGGGGTTTTCCGTTCTTTTCTGTTCCTTCGCATTCATACCGAAGCTCTAACTAACCGTCATTACACATAATGTTATGTGCCGAACTCGGTCCTTTCCGCATATTTTTCGTGTCGCTTTGGCTCCGGCATCGGACCTACGTGCCTCGAATCGTACACACAGACTTCATGTGATCGAACGGGCTCTTTAAGAGGAGATGCTACTCGAAGACACTTTTTTTTATATTGTTACGTGAAGGTACACGCGATACTAGGCGTTTCAAGATATATTTACACCACGCCAACGCGCAAGCCAAGATGGAAAACAAGAGCTGAAGATGATGACGATGATCCTTCTTACCCTGGCACATACCCACAAATGGGGCCCTACACCAAAATCATGTCGTCTTTCTACGCGCCTATCTAACCGCTTTTGTGGGACATTGTCTCATAACATAACCCCCGGGTGCTGAAGCACCGTCTCGGTGCTTTCTATGATGTGGTAAAGTAGAGTAGAGTGGTAAAGCTTAAGGCGAGATGCATGAACAATGTCTGTAGATAGTGAAGGGGAAGAGGAGGAAGACTCGAGCGGGGCTATCTCGTAGGTCACATCTGTCACCTGGCGCAATACGCAGTAGGGTCCCGAGTAGCGGGAAAGCAGTTTTTCAGAAAGTCCAACGCGCCTGGGTGGAGTTCACAATAGCATGAGATCCCGGAGTAAAGGAAACTTGGCGATGATAGGAGTTGTATTGCTGCCGCTGCTGATCTTGCGATGCTAAGAGGCGCTGACGGGCAACTTCTCGTGCTTTTCGAGCTCTGGTGATAACATCGCGAGCTCGACGGCTGTCGACGGCTGTCGGAAAGATGGTGTCAAATGGTAAAGTTAGATCATGGCCAAACACGAGATAAAAAGGTGAAAAACCAGCTGCATTGTGGCGTGAGGAATTATAGGCGAACGTAACGAAGGGCAATGCAACGTCCCAGTCCTGGTGGTCGGAAGATACGTACATGGCGAGCATATCGGTCAAAGTCCGGTTGAATCGCTCAGTCAGTCCATTAGTTTGCGGGTGATAGGCTGTTGTAAATTTATGTTTTGTCTCGCAGGAGCGAAGCCGTTCGTCGATTACCCGGGAAAGGAAATAGCGCCCACGATCTGTGAGGAGTTGGCGTGGTGCGCCATGATGAAGTATGACGTCTTGCAGAAGGAAAGCGGCAACGTCTGTGGCACAGCTGGTTGGTAGAGCCCGTGCAATGGCGTACCGCGTTGTGTGATCTGTCGCAACAGCTATCCACTTATTCCCAGAAGTGGACGCAGGGAAAGGGCCTAGGAGGTCAAGACAAAGTCGAAAGAACGGATCAAAGGGAACGTCAAGTGGTTGGAGGAACCCAGCAGGGCTCACCGAAAGTTTTTTTGGGCGTTGACACTGGTCGCATGAGGCAACGTAGCTGCGGACCGAGCGATAAAGACTGGGCCAGTAAAATCGACGCTGTACACGGTCATACGTCCGAGACAGTCCTAGGTGACCGGCAGTGGGAGCGTCGTGGAGCTGGCCGACCACGCTCGCACGCAAGTGGGAAGGTACCACAAGGAGCAGTTCGTGTCCATCAGGGCGGACGTAACCGTACAATGTGCCATCCTTGAGCACGAACAATTGAGTAGACAGATCGGGTGTTGCAGAATGAAGCTTCTCGATAATGTTACGTAAGACAGGATCTCGGCGCTGTTCCTCCCGGATGTTGCTTAAAGCGGAGAGACAGGACACATGGCGCTTCATTGAACGCCTCAAGTGGGTACACTGGATTCCGAGATGAGCAGTCAGCGTCATGGTGTAAGCGACCAGATTTGTAGGACACCGAGTAGTTATACTCTCGGAGTCGTAATGCCCATCGACAAAGGTGCCCAGTGGAGTCCTTCAAGGATGCGAGCCAGCAAAGTGCGTGGTGATCGGTTGTGAGGGTGAAATGTCGACCGTGTAAATAGGGCCGAAATTTTGCTACTGCCCAAACGAGAGCAAGGCATTCCCTTTCGGTGATTGAGTAGTTCCTTTCCGCCTGGGAGAGACGGCTGGCATAGGCGATAACTCAGGCGCAGCCGCTTTGATGCTGGACCAAAACAGCACCAATTCTGTGGCCACTGGCATCGGTGCGAACTTCTGTAGGGGCGGCGTTGTCAAAATGGGCCAGAACAGGTGGTTCTGTTAGCAATCCAATAAGTGTAGAAAACGCCGTAGCCTGCGCAGCACCATATGTGAATGAGACATCTTTTCTCAGTAAGTTTGTGAGAGGACGGGCTACTTCCGCATAGTTGTTCACAAAACGTCAAATACGAGCACAGACAGAGAAAGCTGCGGACTTTCTTGGTGCAGGTCGGAATGGGGAAGTTCCGCACGGCTCGCACTTTATCGGGATCAGGGCATACACCAGAGGAGTCTACAAGGTGGCCCAACATGGTTAGTTGCTGGCGTCCGAAGTGGCACTTTGACGAGTTCAGTTGGAGACCGGCATTGCGAAAAACAGCCAGTATTGAGGATAGGCGGTCGAGCTGGGTCTCAAAGGTCGGAGAAAAGACGATAACGTCGTCAAGGTAACATAGACAAATTGACCATTTGAACCCACGCAAAAGAAAATCTATCATCCGCACGAAGGTGGCCAGAGCGTTGCATATCCCGAAGGGCATGACTTTAAACTGGTAAAGACCATCGGGCGTGACAAAAGCGGTCTTTTCGCGGTCCATGTCGTCGACAGCAATTTGCCAGTACCCTGATCTTAGATCAATGGATGAAAAATACTTGGCGCCATGAAGACAATCCAGGGCGTCGTCTATGCGCGGTAGCGGGTAGACGTCTTTTTTAGTAATCTTGTTCAGATGTCTCTAGTCAACACAGAATCGCCAAGTGTTGCCCTTCTTTTTGACAAGAACTACGGGGGAAGCCCGTGGACTACAACGCGGCTCAATTATGTCTCTAGCGAGCATTTTGTCGACTTCTGTTTGAATTATGTGACGCTCGTTTGGAGATACGTGGTATGGCCACCGATGGACAGGGGAGGAATCGCCGGTGTCAATTCGGTGCTTTACAGCAGTGGTTTGACCAAGCGGACAATCGCAAAATTCAAATACGTCCCAGTATGACTCAAGTACGTGAAGGAGTGCGTCAGCTTGATGCGGCAACAGGTCTGGCGCGATCATATTTTTAACGTCAGCAGACGGGCTTGCTTGCGGAGATCGAGAATGCGTGTAGCTACAGTGTCCATCATCGTCCGAAGATAGAGCTGAGATGACGCATTCGTCAGAGGGAGTCAGCATGGCGAGGGCAATTCCATGCGGGAGCACTTGTGGACACGGAGCAAAGTTGAGCACCGGAATGAAGGCGTGGTTTGCACGTAACTGAATAACCGTGTGTGGTAAGGTAACACTGTGAGCCAAAAGAATGGATGTAATGGGCGGGAGCACATAGTCGCCATCGGATACAGGTGGTGAAGGCATTACGGTAATGCAGGTCACAGTTTGCGGTGACAAACGGACATGCTCAGCAGAGCACATACGAGCTTGGGATGGACTGGGCGGATCAATCGGATACGGTAGGTCAAGTTGCACCAGCTGAGCAGTCGATGAGGGCGGAATGAGTGGACAAAAAAGAAAACAGTCGGGTAGAGGACGGGGGTGGGGAACGAGGTGGTGGCGGAGACTGGGAAAAATCTACGTCGAAGTGAAGGAGAGCGACTGTACTGGGCACTGGTCGTAATTAGCTGAGCCATCACGCCGTGGTAGTTCCTGGCCATAGAGATGGGCTGGTGAGTAGAGGTTGGAGAAGCTTGAGTTTGCCCGATACGGTGACGTCCACGGGCTTCGGCAATGGTGGGAAATGTGTCCCACTCGTTCACTTCGAAAGCAAATCGGCCTGTCGTCAGGCGTCCTCCACGCATTTGGGCCACGGTTGCGTGGAGCAGGGCGGCGATAATGCTGTGGGTGGCTGGAGGTAAATGAACTGACAGCGTCGGGACGGTGCACAGAACAGACCGTGTGAATACCCACATTGGCTAGTTCTTGGCGAACAACGGTCTGTATTAGCGAAATGGTCGGATTAGGATCACTCGGTGCTAGCGCTCTCAAGGGTGCGGGTGATATGGCGTCGATTTCGCGGCGTACGATTCTCGTGATGTCACCGTAGTGTGAATTGGGCTGGGTCGCTATACGAAGATCCTCGCAAGTTGACGTCGCAGCAGTGTTGGGAAGGCGCGTAAAGTGGTGGGCATTGCGACGGCTTTTAGCCTCTTGAAAGCGTTGGCACTCCAAGATAACATCTTGCACGATAGAACTGCC